GGACACGTCCTGGCCAGGATTTTTATATTGCCTAAAACATCCAAAGTAGTTTGACCAATAACATGCAGGTATTGTATATAATCGACCAATCGTGGCGCGTGAGAAGGTGAGATCAACGGAGAATGATCAAAGCGATGCAAATACGCGCACGTGTTTGTTCGTTCGTTTGACTTGAAGCATTGCTGCGCACCGATCATTGAATGACACCAAAGTACCGCGAGAGCGATTCAAAAGCATAAGGAGCCGTCTGCTCTGCTCTCTATAGCTCTCGTGAATGGCATACAACGATCGATCTGCAAACAGCCAAAACCTGGATATTTTAGGCAATATAGAAATCCTGGCAAGGATGCGTCCCGTAAAAATGGCCTGTATGGTCACCCTACCACTAATGTAACTTTCAACAAACATTTAATATACTTGCTGAGGAAGTTTGATCAAGTTTGGGTGAACAACCGTATATAACCTCATATAACTTTCAAAAATTAACAACTTTTGAAGTTGGGAATACTCAAAAATGTTTTGCAGCTGGTTGCTTTATTTATTTATTTTAAACACCAAATACACAAAATAATGTTCTTTTTAGCAGCATCATATGACCCCTTTAACTCAAGTTTTTATTTTTTGGATATGGCTTGAGTCCTTTCCTTCAGACAAAATTGTTACTATTAACTATTGCTAGTTAATAGTAACAAACATAAAAAAAAATTATTCATAATAATAATGAAAAACATTAAATAAATAAATTAATTTGTCAAACAGGGACCTTGATTTTCATCATTACTTACCCTGTGTGTGCGCAGTGTTGCCAACTAATTTTCAGAGAAAGTTGCTAAATGCAGGTCGATATGTTGCTAAATGACGTTGTGATGTCACTGGACGATGACGTCATTACGTAAACGGACGCCAAACTGCGTCATGGCGTAGAATACAGAATGAGATTACTCAAAAATTATGATTAAATATGTTTATTTCGATTTGTTTGTAAATAATAAAAATGGTAATAAATATATTATTTGTAAAATTAATATACACATTTTTTATGATTACATATTTTTATATTTAAATACAGAATTGAATAATTGAAAAGTTACACATTTTTGAACAATTACAATGTATGTATTTTCTTATTAACTAATACAACTACTCATTCTGAACAATTATAGTTTTAAGCAGTGTATTGGTAGTTAATATGCTACACTCTAAGAAAAGTCCATCATAATAGGGCACAATGTACTGTGGTAATATGAAGAAATTTTGTTTTTTCACAGGCATTTTACCTGTATTTTAAATTATTCATTGAATTTTGTGTTTTAGGGTTATAGGAAATGTCCATAAACTTGATGGATAATGTCCTGGCAGAAAATTACCAGCACCTTTTCCTTTTTTCTTACAGTGTACCTAACTGATCATCAATTTATAGGTACAAACTAATAAGGCATCATAAATGAACAATTATTATTGAACTAGCTAGCAACTTGATTCACATGTCATATGTGTACTGCTAGGCATCTTCAACACTGATGTGGCTGATCTAGGCTTGGCTGGCTAGCTGTTCAATGGTTTCTTCTTTTGTGTAATTTAGAGGGCATTACTTGCCTTTTTTTTATTATCATGCATGCCTTTTTATAATTTGAGTCACTTTTCAAAAGTTGCTAAAATTGCCCAAAAAAATGTCAAAATAGCTAAATTTGTTGCTAGGTGCTTTTAAAAAAAATGCAAGGGTAGTCTGAAAAGTTGCTAAATCTAGCAACAAAATTGCTAAATTGGCAACACTGTGTGTGTGTGTATACACACAAACACACACACACACAATTATATATTGAATAAAATAAAATGAACACCACAATCTCTGCATTTTTATTTCAAAATAATTTATTTGTATATAATCGGAATGATGCCAGGTTTATACATCTATGATGGCAGCTGTACGTTTCATAAAGAATATCATTCCAAAAGTGAGAAAATAACATTTTTAAACATTTTCTCAGACCTGGACAAAAATGGATAAATATATTAGAAAATAAATATATTAGTGACATTACCATATTGAAATGTTCTATTATATATAAAATACAACATTTTATCTTATAACTGCTTTGTCTTTCTTACTTTTTTTTTTTTACACAAAATATTGAACATATATTGGCATATCCCTTGATTTTTGAAGGGATTTAGCTCTATTAAAAAAGGCAGTTTTAATTGATTCTCTGTGGAAAAGAGAGCGTATGAACAATACAGACATAACTTTACAGACTGACAACGGTAGAGAAAATAAAATCATCCTCACTGACATTTCCTTGATTGACGTAGAACTGGTAGCTACATAGTGCTTCAATAGTTTTGCTTTGCGTTCCTTTCTCGAATCACATGCAGATTTAGTTTTTCCCAAGGCAAAGTGCTGTTTGCATCCTTTCTATATAAAGCCAAGAGTTTAACGTGTTCTGAATGAGACGGATGCCAACATGGAAGTGCAAAGGTCAAATCTCCCATAATCTGTGGTAGTTGGTGGCAATAGCTGCGTTTACGTACTATCTTGAGTTAAAAGAAAATCATGAGGATTTAATTACTGAAATGACTTAATGAAAATATTGGATAATTCTTATCTTTGGTTGATGAAAAAGTGAACAAATGACTGTCTAGATGCATGCAAGTATCTGAATTTAACAGGGTTCCCACAGAAAGTATTGGAAATATAAGGTCATTTGATAAAAAAAAAAAAAAAGATTTCTAGGCCTGGAAAAGCTATGGAAAACAACAACATTTCTATAGTCAAAATAATTTTTTGCTATTATGCACGGCTCTAAAATGTTTAATAGATTAAATTTTTTTTTCAAATAATCAAAAACAACTGGAAAAGTCATTGATCATAAGGTGTGGGAACCCTTTATGAGGAAACCCTATACTGGGATTTACTATATTGTCTTATGCATATTTTCATTTTGGATTCAGCCTCATTTTGATGCAAATTAGCATGCCAAAAAGACTCATGGGAGGTATTTGTGGTTCAAAGGATGAAGACCTTTGACCAATTTGACCATTTACTGACAAAAAATAAAAAAAATGGCAAGATTTCCAGTGTTTCCTTTTCTTTACTTAAAAGAATGTTTCAGGTTCAAAACTGCATCTGATATTTTTCCCAACTAAAGGAAGAATGTCACATGTTTTAGCTTGTTTTGAACCCAGACCATTCCTTTAACGGTTGGCTTTTACAATATATGACAACAGAGATTTCTGCGTAACAGAGTAAAGATAACTATGCTTGCAGGCAATACGTATCGAGTCAACTCAAGTTTTGTGTGTTGGCTGGTACTGCCATAAACAAGACGGCAGGCTACATAAACATATGGATAAACTTCATGAAGTGTTCATTTCATGGGATACAGAGGCACTTTTGGTAAGCTTGTATGCTGGTTGGTTTCTATGAAATGTCTGTCCCTTTAAGGGAATATGAGAGTCACAGAGGTGAAAGCAAAGCATTCTGGGAAATGTAGTCCTTCTCAGCCCGAACACATTAAAGGCTTAACAGACCAAAATAATCAAACAAAACAAAACAAAACAAAACAAATCTTCACAACTTCCCCCAAATATATTCAGTCAATTCATTCAGTTTTGACAAGCAAAATTAATAAATGAAGACACAAACATTTGTAAATAACAGCTGCCATTTCTGAATTAACAAAACCGAGACCTGAAACCTCAATGAAATGCTCCTTTCCAAGGACAGATGATATAAAGTAAAGCTCCCTATCGCTCCTCTGAGTTAATATCTGTCAGGGGTAACGAGAAGCACCTTTGAAGTACCGTCTCGCTAACATGACTTTTCTGATTGGTTATCTGAGGTAGTGCTGGAAAACCAGGCCAGATGCTTGAACGTAGCCCAACACATAGTTAAAGAGCTAGAAATAAAATGGAAGAGGCGGGTAGCATCGCAATGACTAGATAGTTAAAAATTAGCCAGTAGGCACGGTGAACTAATGAAACATACTTTATGCAAGTACGCAAACATAGAAGTAAATGCACAGCCGATGCATTGCAAGCTCTCAGTTTCGTTGTACATGCTAAGTATCTCAGTCTTCAAGGTATAATGATACCGCCATGATAGTAGTTAACCTGAAAAAGAAAAATTACTGTAGAACAAGACAGATTATGCTAATGTTGTGTTATGAATTGGTTGTGACACATTTCAGAACACAACAACCAAGCTTGTGTAGATAGAAGTGTCTACGTACATGCATAGAGTACATACGCCAAGTCTAAATCTCAATGGAATACGAAAGAACATGTTTAAATCTTTAAGGACTTTCATGAAGATCATCAAGGATTTGTTTACAAGAGAAGATACTAACTGAATCCTGATTTAAACCAAAGGAAAGGAGGAAACCAAGATTGAGCAGATACTCATTTCATGCGCATCTTCCAGATCCTCTGCCTGAATTAATACCACTTGTTTGTCAATCCAAAGTCGCTTTTGGACCGTATTGGGTAAAGTACCAAGAATGACTTGTTCTGGACATTAGAAAGGTGCTAGCAACAGTGAGTTACTACTGAAGAGTACTTTGGAAAACCCATGTAATCATCAATGACTGCTGAATTCTTTGTAAGAACGAAATTCTGAGGTCTGGAGATTCTGGTTAATGCAGTTTGATATTGCAGAAGATGTTTGGAATTATCCGGAAGACTCAAAATGTGAGTGAAAGAGACATCGAGAGATCGCCGAACAGTTTTGACCATTTCGGCTCTTGTGTAGCAGCGTGAGGAGTTTTGGATGAAGAGTTTTCTCAAACACCAGACTCTTCCTCTGACCCTGTGGATAGAGAGAAAAAAACATGTTTCCATGTAGAGCTCATTAAATGGAAGGAATAATTAATTCAAACTGAAAATCAGCAGTGCACATTCAGTGCAATAGAGTGCTGCACAGATTATATGTTTTTATACACCTGCTCCATCTGAAAGCACGTGATGATGATTTCCTGCTGATTACAGAACCGGCTTTTTTAACAAAATGCGCATGACAATCGCATTCGATTAATCGTTCAGCCCTAACACCAACCCCATCACCCTAGTTCCCTCAACAAAAAGACAATAGGGTTTTTCACTTGGCTTTTGGATTACTGCAGAAAATAAGCCCTGTGACCAACAAATGTTTATGATTCTTACATATTTTGCTTATCAGGATAATCTTAGTTATCTAAAATCTAAAAGTTAGGCTATACATCAGGGGTGGCCAATGTCGGTCATTTCAGTCAGACATACTCACCCTGACTATTGTGTAGAGTTTGGCAGTACAGGCAGTCCGTGGGAAGTTCGTCCCCTGGACCATGATAGGCCCTACACAGGGGTCTGTCCATTCCAGAAGTGGGTCCCAGGAGCTGAGGCTCAGAGTGGGCCTGCTGCACCTGCTTCTGCCACACCACATGTGCCCCACTACAGCACGGCCAGTCGGTCATACCCGTCGAGTCCAAGATTAGGGGCACCGGCAGCAGTGTGGGGGCCATGTCTGGCGGAGGTGTGCAACAGTAGCTTCCCGCTCCTTGTCCGTAGTGGATATGAATGCTACAATCATCCTGAAGGTCCAAGCTTTGATGGAAGTGAACAACCGGCGAAGGCGCTTCCAATGGACAGCCGGCTGCTTTCCGACTGGTTGTCCACCCTGGACCTTTGTGGCAACAGGGCAGGGACGGAGAGGGTAAAGGAGGGGAGGGAAGGATCACGGAGGCACCTGAGGTGGAAACGGGGTCCGGGTCTCTATCCTCAACCCTCTTTGAACTGAGGTCTGTTTTGGGGCAGTGGCAGGACTGCTGGTGCTGTACCTGACACCCGGAGGAGTCTTTGTCTTTAGTTACGAGACAAGGCCCGCTTGCTGCCGCAGCTGAGGACATGGCCTCTTGATCCTCGTCACAGCCTCGGCCGGGCCCTTGACTGAGTTCCCCATCCTTGTAATAGTGGTGTCTATGCCTATGATAGTGAACATGACTGAACACAGCCACCTGCTGCTGCTGTTCTTCTGGGCAAATGGCACCGGCATCTCCACCGCTTCCACCCCCGGTTCGGTTCACTACCGAGTCCAGGGAACGAGGCCTTTGCGTGACCTCCATGCTCCCTCTGCGTGGAGCTTTGCCCGGTCCGCAGTAGACAAATGGGTCATAATCACTGCTGAGCGAGCTACGAAAAGTGGACCAGCTGCCATAGACACCCTGCAGGCTGATGTCCGTACAGTTCAATACAGAGTCGCTGGACGAGCCGTGGCACGAACCCGAGCTGGAATCGCTAGCCGGTCCGTCTGCAAGGTAACCGCTCCGCTCCGTATGGTAACTCCCTCCTGAGCAGCTTCCATCGTCTTGGCGACTGTGCGAGCCTCCTCCACGTGGCAGGTGATGATGAGTTGCATGGTTTGCGGATGACGCCACATGATGCATCCGAGAACCTGAGGCGTTCCGCAAAGGTCCTCCGGGGCAACGGTGACACGACCTTCTGGGGGCCGCATAGTGATGCCCCCCAGTCCGACACCCATGCCCGCCTGTCCTGTGCGGATGTCCGTGATGGGCATCCGGAGCCAAGTGATACGCACAGCTAGCACCCAACGGTCTGCTGGGAATGCAACGTAGAGTCCTTGGATGAAGAGGGGGAGAGTTGCCATAGTGGCCCATCTGGGGTAAAGGTCCAGAGGGGTTACGGGGGTAATGATGGCGAAGGGAAAAGGGAACAGGGTGCTGGGGATAAGGGTGTTGGTTCGAATAGTTATGGGGAAGGAGGAAGGCTTGACTGTGCTCTGGTGGAGGGGGTGGCATTCGACTCCTTTGGGGCAGACGGGATGCCAGATCTGAACCTGATGGAGGATAGATGGTGAATTTAATTTGAAATCATGCTACTAATAATTGCTACTGAATATCAAGAACTAGAGTTGCATTGTTCAGGGTATGTTCAGGCTTTGGTTCTGAGCAAAACCTATATGACCTTCTTTCTTAGAATATCAAAAGACATTTTGAAGAACATTGGGGTCCAAACAACCCTGGACCCCATTGACAAATAAATATTCTTCAAAATATCTTTTGTGCTCCACGGAAGAAAGTCACACAGGTTTGGGCATCTCATTAAACAGGATGTGTTCATATTTAGGAAGCATAAGATAAAGAATGAAGAGGAATTTCAATACAGTGCTGCCTCGGAAACTCTATAATAATATTATTGGAGAAATATATATATGTACCCTGAGGCTGTTTACCCATGATGTTGTGCATGCACAGTGGGCAGGTACGGTGTTGTAGGAGCCAGGGGTCAACACACTCCTTATGGAACTCATGAGCACAGGAGATGATTCTCAATTCCTGCCAGAGAGAGAGAGAAAACGTAATATTAAATGTGCCATTGGTGTGCCTCAAAACAAAAGTGGTCCTTTTCCTGACTGCGTTTGATGGTTCAAAATCATATAATGCTTTTTCATTCTTTTCATCTCCTACCTGGCCATCCATGAATTCCTCAAGACAGATGGCACAGACTGGGCTGGAATTGGAGCTGCTGTTTGACCCTGGAGCCCCGCGAGAACGCTGGGAGCCAGAGCAACCCTGAGAGCTGTATGTGCGTGTTTCCAACCTGCTGATGGCACGCATGGTCTGCTGGTGCACAGAGTCCTGGAAGTTAAGAAACAATTATTTAAAAAATTTCTACAGTGAATTTAAACGTCAAAACAATAAGTTATGATCATGAAGAAGAGGAAAGGAATACAATGATGCAATGGTCATGTTACAATCAAGACTAAAGGTACACGTAGGCTGCATTGGTATAATGCAGGGGTGGCCAACTTTGGTCCTGGAGAGCCACAGTCCTGCAGAGATTCGCTCCAACCTTAATCAAACACACCTCAACAAGCAGATCAAGGTCTAAGGGTTACTAGAAAGCTACAGGCTGGTTTTTTATCAGAGTTGGAGCAAAACTCTACATGTCTGTGGCTCTTCAGGACCGAAGTTGGTCACCCTTGGTATAACGCGTGTTATGTTTTCTTACCCAGGTTCTGTTGGACCTGCAGCGGAAGCGTAGAGCAAAGATCATGATGATGGCCAACACAACTAGAGCCACAGTCAACAGGATGCCAACGTCATAGTAAGGCTGCGTACACAACATACGAAGAGTGAAGCTTGAGTGTCCTGCCATTAGTTTGTCCTCAAACCACCAACTAATGGATTTTAACCCAATAAACAGCCAGAAGGTGCTATTCCAAAAAAAACTTGAAGTCAAAGTAAATCTTTGCCACAAATGAAACAAACCCTCCTGAAAAGACCAGGATGGTTGGTTACAAAAGCTGTCACTGAGGCAGTACCCTTTCAAAAAGTACTAATATGTACACTTTAGAAACTAATGTACCTTTAGGATATTAATATGCACGCTTTAGGGGTAAATAAGGTACAAAGTTATACCTTTTAAAAGGGTATCACCCCAGTGACAGCTATTGTACCATTTTTTCAGAAAGTGTACCAATGTATGTTGGATTTTGGATGCTGGCATCCCATCAATTTTTTAACTAGCTTAACCAACAAGACTCCAGAAGGACCATACTGGTTGACCAGTCCTACTAGCTAATATTTTCAGGCACATAGTGCAGCTATAACTGTGATGATCCTGGATCAACATCGTTCCTGTTAAACTGTGCTATACATACTGTATTTCTAATTGATTAGGCCTAAAACATAGGAAATTATAGGTTTGTTTAAGTCCCAACCCCAGCTCTTACACTAGGCCTAAACTTCCCTTAATTCTGATTGGTTGATGGGAAAATTGTTCCAGGACTAACAAAGATTTTGATGCAGCAACATGTTCTACTTGCATGGGTGGCCATACTGGTCAGTCAGCTGACCCAACACTAACCAGGCATGTAAAATCATGCTGGTTTACACAGCTATTTTCAGCATGAAGACTGAAACAGTAAAGCCTAAAAATTAAAAGACATTTATTTAAATGTGGATACGATTACGCACCCATTTTTGAGTCTCCATCATGATGTCTATGAACACCATGGCTTCTTCGTTCTTATTGACGAGTCCCATCAGTTCTTCTGCGTCTGATGACTTCACCAGCACCACTGGACGAGGCAACGAACCTGAATCACGCAGCTGTGTGTAAAATAACAAACAACAACAAAGTGTCTAAGTACTGAACGGAATGTATGGAATGGAATATATTTTGAACTACATGGCCTAGAAACAAAAAAGTTTTTACAAAATTACCTCGGTAGCATTCTGCCAAGCTACCTTAGTTAGTAAAGTGATTGTTAAAACTTTGATAAATTGCATTTATCTGCAACTGTCTTACAAAAATAAGATATAAAAAATTAAAAAAGGTAATAAAAAATAAAAATAACTTAACTTAATAAAATAAACAATATAAATACTGAATATTAATAAATAAAAATAGAATAAAAAATAAAGATTTGAAGTGATTATTAAAACTGATAAGTTGTTTTTATCTGCAACTGTCTTCCAAACATTTATTTAAATGTGGATACGATTACTCACCCATTTTTGAGTCTCCATCATGATGTCTATGAACACCATGGCTTCTTCGTTCTTATTGACGAGTCCCATCAGTTCTTCTGCGTCTGATGACTTCACCAGCACCACTGGACGAGGCAACGAACCTGAATCACGCAGCTGTGTGTAAAATAACAAACAACAACAAAGTGTCTAAGTACTGAACGGAATGTATGGAATGGAATATATTTTGAACTACATGGCCTAGAAACAAAAAAGTTTTTACAAATTTACCTCGGTAGCATTCTGCCAAGCTACCTTAGTTAGTAAAGTGATTGTTAAAACTTTGATAAATTGCATTTATCTGCAACTGTCTTACAAAAATAAGATATGAAAATAAAAATAAAAAGATAATAAAAAGTAAAATAACTTAAATAACTTAATAAAATAAACAATATAAATACTGAATATTAATAAATAAAAATAGAATAAAAAAATAAAGATTTGAAGTGATTATTAAAACTGATAAGTTGCTTATATCTGTAACTGTCTTCCAAAATAAATTAATTAAATAAAATTAAAAACAAAAAGTAATGAATTAAAATAGCATTAAATAGCAATAAAAACAAAATAACTGATTGAAGGAAATACTATGCTAATTTATTTTGAAAATTCATCTTATTTTTAGATTTAGAGTGATTGTTAAAACTGTGATAAGTTGCTTTTATCTTCAACTGTTCTCCAAAAATAAAAAACAAACAATAAAATAACAAATAAATACAATAAATAACTAAAAAACAGAATGAAGGAGATTCCATGTTAATTTATTATAATCTAAAATTATAAAAATTGTTACATAAGGTATGACAAGGTATGTTTATTGGCAACTGTCCTAAAAAAAAACCCATGAAATATAATAATAATACTATAAATAATAATTAATAAAAAATAGTAAAAAAAACAATAACAATAAATAATAAAATACATTGATTGAAAGAGAACCCATGTTAATTTATTATGATTTTACAAAAGAACAATAAGTTGGCAG